AGTGGCAAGAAATATTCAAAGTGATGAATAGCAAGAACCTACAACCAAGATTACTTTATCCAGCAAAGCTATCATTCAGAATTGAAGGTCAGATAAAGAGCTTCACAGATAAGGAAAAGCTAAAGGAGTTCATCACCACTAAACCAGTATTATATGAAATGCTGAAAGGTATCCTTTAAGAGGAGGAAGAAGAAAAAGGTAAAGATACAAATTGTGAACAACAAACATGCATCTATCAACAAGTGAATCTAAGAATCAAGTGAATAAATAATCTGATGTACAGAATGAACTGGTGATTATAATGAATCAGGGACATAGAAAGGGAATGGACTGACTATTCTTGGTGGGGAAAGGGGAATGGGAGATGCGGGAAGAGACTGGACAAAAATCGTGCACCTATGGATGAGGACAGTGGGTGGGGAGTGAGGGTGGAGGGTGGGGCGGGAACTGGGAGGAGGGGAGTTATGGGGGGAAAAAAAAGAGGAACAAATGTAATCTGAACAATAAAGATTTAATAAAAAAATAAATAAATAAAACTGCTTTAAAAGCACACACACATACACACACACACAAGGGCCTTTCCACTGCTACCACGCCCAGAGCACCCCCAGCCATGGTCAGTGGAGGAGGAAGAGGCAGACATCTGTCAGCCTGCCCACCGAGCCCAGGTTTTCCAGGCTCACTTCAGCTGACACACTTTTCTGCACCAGCCCCTGGGGCCCCCTTCTCCCTTCTCACCCCCTTTCTCTGTGATTGATGGCCCTCAGCATATGCATTGGAGGCCTCACTGTGTCTGCTCACTAGTGCACATGCAGGTCATCAAGGCCGAGGCCTAGAAAATGCAGGAGGACCAGGTGTGAACTCTAAACAACTTGGTTCTCATTTTAGGGAAAGGTGAATCCAAAGTTTCTACATCTTCTGTAGCCTTCAAAACACCACCAACAACAACCAAATGTGTCTGTCAAGATAAAGGTCCCCATCACCACTACAAATCAACAAAGCATGGAAACCCTTTAAGAGTAAAAGGAGACACCCCCATACTCGGTGTGTGATGAGCTAGTTGATAGAGCAAATGGGTGGAGGGACGTATGAAAAGTGTCACGGAGACCCTGGAACCTAAACATGCCTGAGAAGAATGACATCAAGAAAGGAGTGCAATGTTCTCAACATAGCATAATTGCCTATTTTGGATCAAGAGCTTTCTGACATTCCTTCCGGAGTGAAGACAGCACACACGCTTCCCTTGGCTGCAGTGCTGTCTCCAGAGCCGTCACCGTAAAGGTGAGCCTCTGGAGATAATAAGTAGAAGAGAAGAATTAAGAAAAAGAATCATGGCAGCTTTCATTGTCCCTACCTCCAAGGGAACAAAACAACCATAAATCTAAAAGACAGCGAGAGCACACTTTGACTGCTACTAGAGAATTATTGCACAAATATTTACATGTTGCATCTTAAATTATGCAATCCTTTTAGAGCAATAAATATTCTAGAAGCAAAATTGTGTGCTGAGCCACAGCCAGTATTCTCCCAATCTCAGGAGCCAAGAAAGAACATATATTCTTAAGCAAAACACATGCGACCCTTAGTTACTTAAATCCAATGAAACATCTGTCCGATAAGGCAGAGCTCCCTTCTTAACTACCAGAGACCAGCAGCTCCACAAACATGGCTCAGAAAACCTCCCAAAGCCTTTAGAGCAGTGGTTCTCAACCTTGGCTGCACATTAGAATCACCTGGGAATCTTTTTAAAATCCTGATTTCTGGGCCTCATCCTCTGGAAATTCTGTTTCTTTGTTACTAATGTTGTGGCCCCACCTCATAACAAAGAAACAGAATTTCCAGAGGATGAGGCCCAGAAATCAGGATTTAAAAAAGATTCCCAGGTGATTCTAATGTGCAGCCAAGGTTGAGAACCACTGCTTTAGGGACATTTTTCCTCCAGGAAGCTGGCTGTAGGCTGCACCTGTGAGCTGTAAATTCCGTATTAATGCAATTAACAACCCCTCTACTCCACCAAAGCTCTAGGTGGCCCCACCCCATAACAAAGAAACAGAATTTCCAGAGGATGAGGCCCGGAAATCAGGATTTTAAAAAGATTCCCAGGTGATTCTAATGTGCAGCCAAGGTTGAGAACCGCTGCTCTAGGGCTTTCTGTGAGGTTTTTACTGTCACTAACCCTGGTCACGTGTAGACCAGGCCCAAAGGGCTCTTGCCTCAGGGCCTTCGCATTTGCCAGTCCCTCTCCCCCAGATTTCGTCTCTATATCTTTACTTAAATGCCACCTAATATCTCAAATAACCACCTTGGAACTCCGGGTGGCCCTTACCCAGCTCCAGGAGCTACCGGCTTAGATAGAGTAAGAGGAAAGACCTCCTTAAGAAGGTGACCCTCCCATAAGAACCTGAAGGCAGTGCATGAGCCTCACGTGTGGCCCCAAGGTTGGACACTCCCGTGCCTGCAACCAGTTTGTTTCCATTTTCCTATTTCTTAGCCAGCTATTCTAGACTGGCCCCTCATCACCTGGCCCAGGTCAGCCTCCCAGCTTAAGCTCCCACATTCCCCGCTCTGTGCCACACCACGACCAACCACACTGCCCCTGCCTGCCATTGCCTCCAAACGTCTCCCCTCACGAGGCTTCCAGGATGTTCTCAGCTCCCTGCATCCAAGACACTTGTCCCTCGTACCTTTTCCCATCCTGCCTCTGGACTGGGCACAGCTGACAGAAGATAGGTGCTTTTACTTAGAAACTGGTGAGACCCTGTGCCTTTGGTTTATCTCAGGGGGCAGGGAGGTTTGTCTCTAAGCACGTAGGAGCTCTCTGAGCTCTTCTCTCCTTATCTAAAAGGTTAAGATTCTCAAAGGCAGAGACTGGTTCATCTTCGAGTCTCCTAGAGTACCTAACATGTGTGCCTTGCACACAGTCAGTCTTCAGTGAACCCCTGCGCAGTGACTCAACTCCATGTGCCACAGGATTGTGCATTTGCACATGGGACATTTTATTCTCTCGGTTTTTCAGGAAGACGGAGACTGTTTGGGCAATAGCACCTAGAAGTCACGGGGAGATCGGAAGCTCTCTCCTGCCCTGCTCAGAGCACAGAACACAGGACTTGCTCCTTCTGACCAGGAGATAGAAGACCCCCAGAGTCATGTGGGTGGCGGGCCATGTGTCATTTCTCCACCTGGATTTGGTGGGGAGCAGAGAGGAGGGGATACAACGCAGAGAAACAAAGGGCTCTCTGCCCAGGGAAAAGCCAAGAGCACAAGCTTTGCCTGGCAGAAGACAAAACGAGTGGAGGATGCACTTTTCAGAGCAAGGAGAAGGCAGGTCAGTGAAGGTGAACAAGGGCCACGCCGAGTGCTGTGTGTTAGGGCATCTCACGCTCACAGCCCCAGGACCTACTAGTATTTACAAGGAGAAAACAGAGGCAGCGCCTCCGGAGGCTGAGCCAGCCTCTCCATCCCACTGCCCTCTCCTCACTCTGTGTGGACGGAGGGGGCTTTCAAAAGTTGCCCAGAAACTGGGTCTGAGAGACCCAAGCCCCCTGGGAGTGGTTTCCATTATTCTCACTTGGCTCTGAGGCAGCCGTTTTCAAACTTTTATTTTTTTACCCCCAAATCGAACATAATAAATCTAATCCCAGTGGAGCCTCAGGGTGGGGACTAGGCGAGCAGGCGTTGC